GGAGTCTAAACGAGAGTTGTAGAGCCTTTTCACACCTACGCGTGCATATAAAGAACGTCGAAATCGGAGCTCGTACGCGAAAGTTACGGATTTTACAAGTTCGAGACACAAAACCCGAGGCTGACTCAGCCTCACGACGTGAGGGAACCATGTCACGACGTGAGCTCGTGACTGATGGGTTCCAGAGTGTCAGCCACGTCAAATCGTCGAAGAGGATCATGCTGACTAAGCCTCACGACGTGAGAATCCAAAACTCACGACGTGAGACCCCAAATCAGCCCCTATAAATAGAAGCTTAAGGGTGCCGGGTTTGGTGCTCATCTCTTTCCATCTAAGTGTCGTTACTCTGCGTGATTACCTCGAGAAGCCTTCCCGAAGCCCTGGTTTTCATACTCGAGTCCCGAAGGAAGTTCTACACTCCCGAGATCCCCGAGAATCCTGAGATTTCAACTCTCTCTAGTCAAAGTTCTGCTCGATTCTTCTCTCGACTACTTCAAAGCAACCACTTCAATCAAGTGAGTTCATACCCCTATAACTACGTTTTTAAATGCTTTTATACACTTTTAAGGGGGGGGGGGGGGGAATACAAGTAAACGCACGATTATCCTCGTGTGAATAACATAAATCTTTCATATTACTTTTGTTATAATCAATCATATGTGATTTATAACTATCATACGACAATATTCTCATACAACATATCACGATAACGCTTGTCTTTTGGAATAAAACATGGTGTTAAGTAAATATGAAACACTTCATTTATATTTCAAGTATAAATGTTAAATAATGTTATTACAAACATTATACTTTACATACAAAGTCGACACTACACTAGGGTTTATCATACAAACAAATCACACTTTTGGAAAAACTACAATAGGTATAGTTTACTAGATATTCATGAGATTTCACATACTATAAATACTACATCAAGGGAATACTTTCATATACAAGAGCAAATGGACTTTTCATACGTAAATCTATTTGATACTAAGTTTTGTGAGACATTTAACTTCACGTACTTTCAAGAATGCAGTTAAAGTCCTGTATTATATGTCATAATCTCTTGTAGGGAGAGCGTGATTCTTGTGTATAGATCTATACGGGATTGACAATCCCGCACCTAAACTGTTAGCTGCAGTTAGACTGGCAAGTCTGGGGTGACAATCGTCATAACATTCCAACGCCTGAAGAACGTTGTTACAGGCAGTCTGTGTCAATAGCATGGTTATAAAACTCACATGGAGTATTAAAAGCACGTTGATTTACGGGGTTATCAAATGCCTTAGTGATTTTATACATACATAAATCTACTACCCTAGGCATGAAAAACACTTTTGCATTTCAGTTTTGGAACTTTTAAACTACCACATATTTATGGAAAAACATTGGATTTCTAAAAGCAAACATTCAAATCAGTTGGGTCTTGGCAGAAGACTACTTTTATACTAGTAGGAAATATAGGATTTTCTAGGAGTTTTCAAACATATACAAACAATTCATTCAGATTTATACAAACATTTACATTAAATACTTATGAACTCACCAGCTTAAATGCTGATCTACTCTTTCAAATCTACTTGTATTTCTCAGGAATTCAGTAATACAGGTAACTTCAGCTTTTGGAGAAGTGACGCTAAGGCGTCAGTTTAAAACTCATTTTATCATCATATTGTAATTTGTTTTGAAACAAGTACTATTCAACGATGTAACTTTTAAATTATATATATGATGGTTGGTTTACTTTCTTTACTATGTATTCAACTGTTACGATACTACATGAAGTCATCCGCCCTCGAACGATTCCGCCGTTCTGGTTTGGGGGTGTGACAGATTGGTATCAGAGCTTTGTTTATAGTGAACTAAATATATCGAACCACATAGGATATACAAACTATAAATGCATGGGGACTAAAACTCTCTGACAAAACATTTTTACACCTACACCGCGTTTCATGGAGCTTAAATTATTTGGGTCATAAAAGCACAAATACATGCATACAAAGAGTCATTTTCATAGTTAGAACTATACAAGAAGTAATAGGACAAGTTGGACACTACGACTAGGCCTCGGAATATGTAATCGGATTTGGGACGAATATAGCCTGATCAACTATATTTATCCGAGATCGGAGTAATGTATGTCGAGGAATAGTCGTAGTGAGCAACAAGTCAAAAATTACCAAAAACATGATCTATTTGAATCAAACGTAACATTTAGAATACTATAGCAGTATTTGGTAATTGCAACAAGTTAAAACTTTGATACTTCCGTATGTGCTTTAGATAATAGTCAATTCTTAACTCTATTCTCGTACAGACACAATGGCTGGATTCCACCCACCATGGGATCCCTACTACCCAAATCAGGGCAATGGAGGATGGGTAGTAGAGGACCCCGAAGAGGATGAGGAACCCATGGAAGAGGAGGAAGAGGATGACTCTGGGACAGACTCAGAACCAGAAGTAATCAACCCACCAGTCGCTCAACCTCCCGCAGTTAGGAGAAACTTTCAGGGACCAACTCCCGTCTGGGGAAGTCACCTCCACCATTGGAGTCAACAACAAGGATTGCGTCCTCCCTACGGCATGTGTCGGGACTTCTACGACGTTAGTGGTGGAAGTTCAGCTGACAGGGCTCTCCCAGTCATGGTGGGCAAAATAGCCAACCAGTCCTTGATCAAGCAACTCAAGATCATGAACACTATATTTTGTGATACTTGTTACCACCTTGATCAAGCAACTCAAGATCATAGCTGATGGATGTTCTAAGAAGATCATTGATGATATGTTAACATAGTTGGGGGAATTTTTCTTCATAATAAATCTTAAAGAAGTAGCTAAGGGGTATGCTAATACGATCCCGACTGAAGTATTTACATCAATGGCCATTATGATCATTTGTGCTCAAATTTGGATTGGATGGAAAAGCAAAAGGTTTTAGTGGCCAACCGAGTAATACTTCCATGTAGGAGGTCTAATGGTTATAAATTATGTAGTGTGCTTTTCCTTGGATAAGACTGTCCCTATGTACAACCCAGTTGATCAAGTAGCAAAGTTGGTAAACACAGCCTTTCTAAGCATAATATTATCAAATATATTGCCTTGTTTGGCTTCCTATGAGTACAAACATCTTTGGTCACTATTTCTGGTTTTGCCTTCTTCGTTATCGACGTTAATGTGAGTATTTTTGCTCAAATTCGTGGTGGGTTTGTCAATAGTGGATCATACATCATTATAGGAATCTTAGTATCGCATGTATTAACTTTTAACTTTATCACAATAAAGATTCTGTTGTTAAGAAAACTTAGGTTGCGTTTGGCGCCCTAGCTGAAAAGCTAGTTGGTAGCTGAAAAGCTAGCTGATGGTTAAAAAGCTAGCTGCTAGCTGATAAGCTAGCTGCTAGCTGATAAGCTAGCCGATAAAATAGAGTGTTTGGTAAAAACTAGCTGATAAGCTAGCTCGAAGATATAAAATTACATAAAATGGCATTTTCCAAAATAAGTTTTCTATAATTAATTAAGGGTATATTTGGGAAGTTTGAAAAAAAGCTCCTAAAAAGCTACTCCAAGTAGCTTTTTAAAAGCTAGCTTTTTGGCTTACCAAACACGACAACTTAAAAAAACTCGAAAAATAAGCTAGCTTTTCAGCTAGCTGTGGCTCGTCAAACATAGCCTTAAGCGTTAAAATATAAACCGTCAAATGACAATCTCCTTAAGGGTAGACGTCCACAAGATAGATTTTCTAAAAATAATCTACAGAAACTTGTAACAAACTATTGGATTATGGTAAAATCTAGTCATCCACAATTTATCGTTTCCAACGATCCACTAATATTACTTTTGGGTTTAGCTTCTTTAGTTACTTTTGTAAGCTACATACTTATAACTTGAAATCTTTTGGTAAATCCGCATTTGAATAAAATAACACAGATTTATGGTCAAATTACTATTGGATATTGGTAATGATTATGTTATTGTAATCCCTCTTTGAGGTATCAGGTGGTGTCCTCCCTCTTTGAGCTTGAGGGTTCAAGTCCCGTTGTGGACATATGTGGAATTAGGTGTTTGTTTAGGAGTAACTTATTTATTTGTATTTTCCGGTTAAAAAAAATTATGATATTGTAATCACTTGGAATTTTCATTGGTCTGATAATCCCAGTTTCACGATGTTTGATGGTTTTCAGTTTTGATTCATTTTCAAGGTTTAAGTCCGACAAATTGAGTGCCTACGAAGTAGAAAAATAGTGGACCGAACAATTGCGCCAGGAAAATCCAGTAACCAATGGTGGAGGTGGAAGATCAACATATTTTCTCTTTAAAACAAAAGACTTATTTATTTGGATTTTGACCCAAATCATGAAGCTTTTTTTGTCAAATATTCAAACCGGTTCTGATTGTAATTACCAAGGGTCAAGAATATTTTTATTTCAATTTTAAGCGGTATTGTTGCTCGAACCTACGCAAATGGAAATCAATGAAAGATCGACGATACGAAGTGTAAACTATGTGAGTTAATCGATCCAAAAAGCCGAAATCAGAAAAATAACGGTTTAATAGACCTTCTTAGACACTGTTACATTCGCTGAAGTGTTGAGCTTTGACTCACCTTCCTTAGATTCAGTTTTTATTCACTTTCCTTTTCATAGTTGGAGTCTTTAGTTGTAGGGTTAGCTAGCACTACTATACTTATCCTAACTATTGGCAATGATACATCAACTAAGCTGGTGGAAAGCATTATTGTGTGTTTGTACTTCATATATAAGGTGGAAGAATGTTTGCTTTTGACCTCTCACCAAGGTTGTAGAACTCGTTATTCGGTACCTGTTCGACCGACTACCGAGTAGCGAGTACTCGGGAGTATTCGTGGAGTACTCGGATTTGGTAATTCATGTAGAAATATTTTTAGGGATATTATATATGTCAAAATCATAAGTTGATTGAAATATATAACAAAATTAGATAAATGTGAATATACAAAAACTGAAAAACACATAATGGTTTAACTTCGTGAATAATTACTGAAAATTTAAGATATATATGTAGTAATAATCATATGTGAGTGTGTTAAATAATAAATCATTAAGTATATTATACATATTAATCACCGAGTTGACCGAATTTTACAACATTGTTCAGTTCAGTAAAGGGTCGATCAGGGAGTACTCGGGATTCTGTAACTCGCCTCGGTAAGGGACCGAGTAGCGAATACTCGGAGGAGTAATCGGCCAACTCGGGGAGTTTTACAACATTGCCTCTCACTATGTACGGATCCAACAAACAGCTAAAACTGTTTATGGTAGAATCAAAAACTACAAAAGATGGCTACAATTTAGTCTTCAAAAATAGACTTTTCAAAATAAAACAACAACATAATTTTTTTATCGTTATCTCGATCAGATTAAGTGATATTAGTAGGTGCCAATAAGCTATCAAAGGGGTTGATGTGTTATTAGATTAACCTAAGTTTATAAATGTATTTAACCTAATAATGTAACTAAGGTGTTATATGTTTTTTAAAAGGTAAAACGTGGGCAATCTACGGACCATATTTACAAAATAATAATAATAATAATAATAATAATAATACTTTACCAAGCATATGCAATCTGCAAGAAAAAATCTATTTATTTGTTAATTTCTGTAGAATGCTAAAATAAATAAATAAAATTATAAATATACAAAAAAACTTCACAATTAGAATATGAAACCGACATAAAAAAAATAAAAAAAAAATTAATAATAAAAAAAAAAACTAAGGTTGTCTTTCTACCAAGTTATGTAATTAATTAATCAAAAAAATATAAAAGAAAAAAAAAGGAAAAGAAAGAGGTTGATTGAGTTTTTGAATTAAGAAAGATATGAACATTGTATTTTGGTGAAAAGTAGTCCCACATTCCCATTAACATGAAACAGACCGAACGTGGAAAAAGCAAAAAAAAAAAAAAAAAACAAGACCCTTCAAAATTCAAAAATCAGTCAAATTTAACTAAATTTAATATATATATATATATATTGCAAAAAATGAATTGGGTTAGGTTGTGCAAAAAAACCCTATGACAAACCAAAAACTAAAAATCCTAACAACCGAACCATTTTCAAAAAACGCCAGTTTGCTTTTTTGTGTTTAAAAAGACCGATTTTTATGTTGGGTTTGGTTTTTGCATATGGTGATTATTGTTTCAGAAAGAGGAATTGATAAAGAGAGAAAAAGGAAGAAGGGGTAATTGATAAAGAAAAGATGGAAATGTTAGCAGTAATTAGAAATTAGAGCAGATGATTGGAATGGAACTGCAGGTGTCACATTTAAAAGAAAAGAGAGGTGACTCAGGCCTCTTGCTTCAGCATGAGGTGGGATAAATAGGAGATGAATGGTGAAGGCACTATTCATCCCGGTTCATAGTAGACTAAATTACATATGTTGTCTCTATGTTAAATTACACTTTCATACCATTTTTTTTTCTTTTTTTGTACAGACTTGCAAACCCATTTGTTCAATTATTACACTGTCTTTTTTTTCGGTTTTTTCTTCCATCTGTGATGTTTTCTGATTTTGTTCCCACCCATGACATTACTTTTTAGTAGACATAATATTCGTATACCTTTACAAAATTATTTTCAATATGTAAAACACGAATCACATATATTAATGTATGCCTATTAATGGTAATATATGTCTTTTAAAGCTATATGTGTACCATCTTCTTATTTACGTTGGTAAGTGGAAGAGTGCTCCCTGTAATTCACCATTAGGGTGTAATATTGCAATTTAAAAGAAATTTTGTGCATGTCAAAATTAATAAGTCATAAATTTTCTTTTGCTAATGGTTATTATCAACACTAATTACAACAAATTAACTAATTTTGCTCTTATTACCTGTAGCAGTGGCTGCTGTTATGGGTTTTTGCTATGTTATGTTCAATAGTGCAGGGGGTTGGTTTAATTTCGATTTAGTCTGTTAAATTTTTTGGTGCAGTAGTATTTTGCTTGGCAATTGGCATTAGTACCTTTAGAGATGAATTAGCTTTGCCTTATCTTGTTTTAGCTTAGCGATTTAGTTAGCTATATAGATCACCTTGAACATAATATATATATATATATATATATATATATATATTATATATATATATATATATATATATCAATATGTTGGCATCATTCTCTAAGAACATTAGTAAATGGTGAAGATAAAAGGGTGTGTTACCTCAAACTCTTCTCCTTCATGATAAATATCACCTTGTAATGTGACTGTTGGTAAGTCTGATATTTGGAAAATGCATCATAGAGTACCTACACAATTAATTTTAAGATCCATGTCAAAGACTTTGAAGATAGTTCAAAGAGAATAAAGTACAAATACAGAAGTACTTTCAAGGAAACATATGATTGTCCCTCTCCATAAGGTCCTTAATATACTCCTCAAAAGTATCAATAGCCGGAAAGACCAACATCACATCCTCTATAAGCTTCTCAATACCATTAAGGTAGGGCTTCTGCTGATTTATTAACACACACAAAATAAGTTTTATATCTTCATATTAACAAGTTCAAAAACAATGACTGTAATGAGTGAGGCTATGCCAACAAACCTTGACAAATGGAATGCTAGTAAGCTTTTGCACCAAATTAAACACAATATTAAACTTTTGGCTATAAATGACTCCAAATGATGTCAATCAAGCCTTTCACAAAACACTAAAAATATAGAGGCATGTCTATTGAGTAACTTCACTTATCCAGAAATGACTTCACTACTTCAGTTTATTAAATAAATTTACTAACAGTTATAAGAGAGATAAGTTTTAAAGATTATTGCACTTAATCCTTGGATGAAAACAGAAAACCATAAAAGGGCTCTTCAAATGGATGTTTTTTTATGGATTTGCATCCAAGTTGGTGAAAAGTTAGCCTAAGATCAGATTCAAGGGAAATAGTAAACATAAAAATAAAGAGTATTCCAGTCACGTATGGAGATAAAGATGAACAAGTTATAAAAATAAAGAGGAAAACAACAAGAAACATCAAACACGTACTCGTTGATATACAGGGATATCACTTGACATGGGTGGAATTAGCTTCGAAAAAAGTTGTGGCGTTCATTACTTTCGTAGAACAGGTCATGGACGACTAAATTAACAACATCAACAGGTTCAGCCATAGTCGTTAACAAAGAGCTCCATCTCGCAAGAAAACAGAAGTTAAAGTTAGGTGAGTTTACAAGCCAAGCATGGGCTAAGGGAAGACACAAAATTGATTAGGAACTTAAACTTGATGTGCAAAAGAATTGATGATAATCGAACCTTGTAGTTGTTACACTGAATGAATAGAGCCAAATCAAGCCCTCTCTATTATGTCACGCCTCCTGTTCTTCTCCAATCTCCAATTTTTCAAAGTATTATGCCTTTTTCTTCTTGATGATACCAGTTCTTGGGACGAGGACCATACATAGCACAGCCATTATTCTTTTTTCACAGGAATGGTGATGGATTTACAGGTTGATAACCTTTGGTAAATTTCAAGAAAAGTGGCAATGGACGTAAGACACCAATAATAGTACTACAGGAAGCTTCACGGAAGCTCCCTCTCCTGCAAGTGATGCTGATTTTGCCATATTTAAGTTTTAACCAAGCACATCGCCTCTTCCAATATTTTAAAGGAAAGCACCAGTCGGCAATGCACCATAGACATGTCTCTGCAATATGCAATAAATATGAAAATGAAATTAGGAAAAAGACAACCAGGTGGGCTCCAAGATTTGCAGGTTTTATTGAACACTGGTATAGCAAAATTAGAACCAAAAATTTAGGAAACTCATACCTAAGAAACCAGAGCGTCTTCCAAACAAGTGTGTCGATCCAGAGCGTCGTTGTCCTTCAAACGTTGAGCGATATTTTCTTCTTCGAACATATTAATGCGTTGTAGACAAAACACGAAAGGTGCTGAAAAAATGGAGTCCACTTGAGTTGCACAAAAGGTGTTTGATGAAATGCTTAAAAGAGATGTTTCCTGATGCCCAAAATTGCCGACATAGTTATCACCTGTAATTCATCTCTGTGCATAAACTGAGTCTTCAGATTAGCAAATTGAGTCCTTTAAATCTTTGTTTTTTTAATTTGCAGGTCTGTAAATTAAATCTTTTAATGATCTAATCGGTGGTTATGGGTTAAAATGTTTACTCACTTGAAACTAGTAATTTGGAGAGACAACAGTTGTTGTTCCACCGGAACAATCATCTCTGTTTTCTTTGGCTCTACATACCATGAATCGTCAGAGGCGGAGGGTTGCCAGGGAAGAAGGATGTGATATGAGGATGTCATGTTAGAGCAGGAAAGAGATTGGGTGGGGATCAGTTTACCGATGCCGGGAGTATTATGGTGGTGAAGAGTTGCCGGCGGAGAAGAAAGAAGATGAGGAAGATCTCGCGGGACGTAGTATTGGGGTTTTCACAGGGGGTATAGGAACGAGGTGAATATGTAAATAGGGTGGACCATAAATTTAATTATTATTTTTTTTAATAAATGAAAAAACTAAAAAATCCTTATAAGGGCAAAATAGTATTTTTAGACAGATAGGGACCAAGTGTGCAACAAAAATATAAAGTAGGGACGTTCCGAATTAAAAAAAATTGTTCGGGACGAAACACGCAGATTACCCTAAACCACAGGGACCATCCGTGTAATTTGCCCTATATATAAATAAAACTTATTAACATCATTTTCTTGTGTTAGCATACTTGTATATTGTATTTTATATAGTGCAATGTTTTATTAGTGTTTAGCTCATTATATCTAGTAGCCCATATGTATGTATGCAGCCCATGTATGTATTGTATATTGTATGTACTTATGCAGCCGATTATATCTACTCTTTAGCGTACTTGTACATTGTATGTATTTATATGTATGGAAAGACATCTAGCCAAGTTATGGGAAAATATTGATCCAATCATGATATCTGAAACATCTTAAAATTACAGTCCAGAATTTTCATTTTTAAATCATTAATAAAACCATAATATCATTTATCATATAAAAACCATAAGTCATGTATCTCAAAATATCATAACATCAGTTGAATATATCAGAGTATAAACATCCCAGTCTAAATAAATAGTGTGTGCACAACAATCATCCTGAGCTCTTCCCCTTGCTACAGGAAGTACCTGAAACCAAAACTGAAAACTGTAAGCACGAAGCTTAGTGAGTCTCCGCAAACTACCATATATCATACATATAATCACATAATAGCGTACATTGGGCCTTGCCCACTACATCGGGCCCCGCCCGACATCGGGCGAATCTGGCATCGGGCCGAAGTCCGGTATACATATAACATATCACAAGCATATAACATAAACACATAATCATAAACATATAAACATTCTTCGGGCTTGCCCCGACATCAGACCGAATTCCGGAACACATAACACATAACATATAAGCTAACATTCCACGGGCTTGCCCCGACATCGAACCGAAGCCCGAAACATATAAACAAATCACGAAGACATCAAGCATACAAACATTCCCCGAGCTTGCCCCGACATCGGACCGAAGTCCGGAAATATATAATCTACATCGCTCTAGCCCCGACATCGGGCCGAAGTCCGGCATACACTAATATACATAAACAGGGCGGCATTGGTGCCTTAGACCCGTTCCTATAGGAGAAGACTCACCTCACAAGCTGAGTGCTGAATCTCTCGGTGAGGAAATCTCTATCGGCTGCTTCTGCGACTCTCCATCTATCATTACCACAATATCACATGGTCAATATCTAAAATCTTTCTTAGGGTAAAATGACCATTTTACCCCTGGTCAAGGTCAACATTCTGGTCAAAGTCAACGTTCGGGATTGACTTAACTTGCCGAGTTGGCCTATCAACTCGCCGAGTTCTATAACTCAAAAACTCTGAAATCGCGATCCAGCTCGCCGAGTCATCCCCCTGACTCGCCGAGTTCCCTGGCTATTCATAGTTGCGATTAAGCGAGTCAACTCGTCGAGTCATCCTCAGACCCATCGAGTTACCAAATCCAGAATCAGGACAACTTGTCTCAACTCGTCGAGTTCCCCTGTCTATTTGGGCAATTATAACGGATTGAGCCCTTACACTTCAGATATAAACTTCTTGCTTTTCATACCCACTGAAAATGTCCATTTAAGGATAAACTTTCCAACTTTACCTGTTAATACCCTCATTTGACGGGTTTGGTTCAAACCCTAACTCTCTAGAACTTATATCTTGGTCTACAAGTCATCCACACTCCATATTAAGGCATACAAATAGAGATCTGGGCCTTAGACACCATTTGAACACGTAAAGCTTCTGCCTTTTTCTCCATGCATGCATGGCCTTTTGGGGCTTAAAAGGCCAAGATGACATCTTAGAGCTTGCATGGGGGCTCGAATGGCATAAAGTTTGCACCTTTATGCCATAACAACCCTTAAATGATTCCAGATCTGAAGGTGTACTTGCTTGGGACATCCATATCCCAAGGATCAAGCTTCTTAGACCAAAAACCCAATAAAGTGAAAATAAGGAGATCTAAGAAACTACTAGGAAAGTTAGAGGCTTGATTACCAGAAAATGATGGGAATGGAAGGAAATCTCTGGATCTGCTATCTTCTCCTTGAATCCTTAGCTTCTTCTTCTTCCACGAGCTTCAAGAACACACCAAGATCACTCAAAAATGGCTCACAGGCTCACAAATGCGTTAGGGTTTTTGAAACTAGGGTTTGGGACTTGGAGGCTGGAAATGAGGCCAACAAGTGGAGATTAGGATGGTTAAATAGGGTGCAAAACTCTGAGATTAGGATTTCATCCTGGCAGCCCTACTCGTTGAGTCGAGGCTCTCAACTCGTCGAGTAGGTGATGTAAAATCCCGCGTCCATTCTGGTTTCTACTCGACGAGTTTGGGGATCCCAACTCGTAGAGTATCTCTATAAAAGTGAATAAATTGTAATTAAATGCGTACTAGGAACCAGGCGTTACAATTCTCCCCCACTTGTCTTAGACTTCGTCCTCGAAGTCTGCTGCGCCGGGAAACAGCTCCGAGTAGTGCTCCCTCATCTCCTCCTCAGGCTCCTAAGTCCATTCTGAACCCTTGCGGTGCTGCCACTGCACCTTCACCAGCTTAACCCTCTTGTTCCTCAGCTCCTTCGTCTTCTTGTCGAGAATAGCTACTGGTCTCTTGATGTAATTCAGGCTGTCATCAACCTGAATATCCTCAATAGACACGATCACTGAGTCATCCACTAAGCACTTCTGCAGCTGAGAAACATGGAAAGTGATGTGGATCTGGCTGAGCTCTTCTGGAATATCTAAACAGTAAGCAACCGGACCTACCCGAGCCAACACCCTGAACGGACCGATGTATCTGGGGCCCAGCTTGCCCTGCTTCCTAAACTGGATGACACCTTTCCAGGGTGACACCTTCAGGAGGACCATGTCCCCCACCTGAAACTCCAAGTCTGAACGGCGCTTGTCGGCATAGCTTTTCTGCCGACTCTGCGCAGTCTAGAGCCTGCTCCAAACCTGTTGGATCCTCTCAGTAGTCTTGAGTACTACTTCAGTACTCCCCATGACTTTCTGACCGACCTCACCCCAACAGATAGGGGTCCTACACTTCCTCCCGTAGATCATCTCGAAGGGAGGTCGGTCTATACTGGCGTGGTAACTGTTGTTATACGAAAATTCCGCTAACAGAAGATACGTATCCCAACTGCCACCGAAATCCAAAACACATGCGCATAGCATGTCCTTGAGAGTCTGAATCTTCCTCTCACTCTTTCCATCCGTCTGAGGGTGGAAAACGGTACTGAAGTGGAGACGAGTACCCATCTCGTCATGAAACCGCTTCCAAAATCTGGAAGTGAAACAGACATCCTGGTCTTACACCACCGAAACGGGCACTCCATGACATGCCACTACCTCACGTACGTAGATCTCGGCCAGCTTCTCAGTCGATATACTCTCTTGGATCAGGATAAAATGGGCGCTCTTGGTCAACTGATCCACAATGACCCATATCGAATCTACTCCACATGCGGTCCTGGGAAGCTTGGTGATAAAATCCATGGTGATATCCTCCCATTTCCACACGGGAATATCCATCGGCTGCATCTTGTCGTGGGGTCGCTGGTGCTCGGCCTTGACCTTCCTATAGGTAAGCACCGCTCCACATACCATGCTACGTCCCGCTTCATGCAGGGCCACCAATAATCAGGGCGAAGATCCCGATAAATCTTCGTTGCCCCGGGATGGATGGAGAACCTCGACTTGTGGGCCTCATCCATCAGAACCTGTCGCACTCCGCCCCAGTACAAAACCCAAACCCTCCCATGCAGGGTCAAGAACCCACGAATGTCATAATCAAATGAGGGCACCAGGCCTATGATGCACTCGCTCTTCCGGCGCTCCTCCTTCAGGCCCTCAACCTGCGCCTCTCGGATCTGCTCTAGCAATGGAGTAATCACTGTCATCCTCATACATCTGTCTCAAATCGGGGCCGCTACTGCCTTGCGGCTCAGAGCATCGGCCACCACATTGGCCTTGCCCGAGTGGTAAAGGATCTCACAGTCATAGTCCTTTACCACATCTAACCACCGATGCCGCCTCATGTTCAGATTCAGCTGGTCCATGAGATACCTCAAGCTCTTGTGGTTCGTGTAAATGGTACAACGAACCCCATAGAGGTAATGTCGCCAAATCTTGAGGGCAAAAACCACAGTCCCTAGCTCTAAATCATGCATCAGATAGTTCGCCTCGTGAGGCTTCAACTGCCTCGAAGCGTAAGTTATCACGTGACCTCGCTGCATCAAAACCGCACCCATGCCCGTGATAGAAGCGTCACAGTAAACCACGAAGTCGTCGACGCCCTCTGGAAAAGTCAGAATCGGTGCCTTGCATAACCGCTATCTGAGAGTCTCGAAGGCTGCCTGCTGCTTAGGCCCCCAACAGAATGTCACCGATTTCTTGGTCAGTCGGGTTAACGGAACGGAGGAGAAATCCTGAATGAATCTCCGATAGTAACCCGCTAGACCAAGAAAACTCCAAATCTCAGTTGGAGACCTTGGAACCTCCCACTGCATCACGGCCTCTATCTTGACCGGATCGACCAGAATACCCTTCTGGTTGACAAGGTGCCCCAGAAACTGCACCTCGCGCAACCAAAACTCACACTTGGAGAAATTTGCGAAAAGTATCTCCCTCCTCAATGTCTCCCACACCTCCCTCAGGTGCTCCTCATGCTGCTCCCGAGTCTTGGAGTAAACTAAGATATCATCTATGAAAACTATCACAGACCGATCCAGCATCGGTCTTCATACGCGATTCATGAGATCCATGAACGCGGCAGGAGCATTGGTGAGCCCAAACGGCATCACCACGAACTCATAGTGGCCATAACGAGTCCTAAAAGTTGTCTTATACACATCCTCGTCTCTGACTCGCATCTGGTGATAACCCGATCGCAGATTAATCTTGGAGA